GCGTTTTCAAAAATACCCGGGTACGTGTGGACGTAGCCTCAGTTATACCATGCACTAAATTAGTTTGTGTGAAATACTATATGAAAATGTAGAATAAATGCAAAAAAAAAAAGCTGATTAAAATGAATAGGTGATTGTGGAAGGTTATTCTGACATTAACCTCATTAGAAGCCAACAGTTTCAGATTTCAAATGGAAAGCAGAAGAACTTTATCGGTTCTCTTTTTTGTTTATTTGTTTTTTTTAATGTCTTAGAATTGAATTATTTGTAAAAAGGTCAACATGAATGGATTTAGCAATATCTGAGTATGTCGTTAAATTCTTTGACTGTGGTGTCCACGTGACTAAATTTACCAAGCTGCGAGACTTCCAGCTGTTGGAAACAGCTCTGTTCTTTCTCATGTCATGGAGCACATTCTTGCTGGCTGAGGCTTGTGGTTTCACAGGTAACACACACACACACACAGATCCACACATTCTACGTGTATGGCATACTGTAATTACCAGAATATCAAAAACAAAAAAAGAGATTAGTAATTTAGATAGAGTAATTGTGTCCAGCTGGAAGCGTTATGCATCAGAGCATAAAGAAATCAGTGCGTATTGATCCCATCTTTATTCTGTGTGTCTCCGTCCCCCTTTGGTGTGCTGCAGGTGTGGTAGCAGTACTCTTCTGTGGAATCACTCAGGCCCATTACACCTACAACAATCTGTCTCCTGAGTCTCAGGACAGAACCAAACAGGTCACTACTTCTTCAGTTCTTTTTTTAGATGCTTTAAGTATTGCGTTTTCCTTGTTTTGTTTTGTTTTATGGTGAAGTAGGGCGATGGGGACTCAAAGATAAACAAAAACTGCAGATTGCTTTATCAGTTATCTGCCATTGTAGGTTTGTTGAACAGGTAAAGACACAAAAATCGAAACTTTTCTATGTCTTTATGACATAGCGAATAAAAAAGCAGCATTTTAAGTTTAATTACAATCACAGTCATGCAATCCAAGTTTAACAGCATTTATTGGAAACTCTAGCCTTTTCTTTTATTGTATACATCTATCTATACTTGGATATCAGCTGTCATGTAAAGCATGCTGTTTCTTTTCTTTCGCAGCTGTTTGAACTTTTAAATTTCCTGGCGGAGAACTTCATTTTCTCCTACATGGGGTTGACCCTTTTCACGTTCCAAAACCACGTCTTCAATCCGATGTTCATCGTTGGAGCTTTTGTATCTTTTTACATGGCCCTGCCAAGTTCACATAAGCCATGTTAATCCTTGTCTTGAAGCATTATCTACAGCAGTGGGAGACAGATGGAAAGGTGACCATGCAAGGAGTAGCGAGAGTGCAGGCAGATGAGTTTAAATAGCATCACAGTGGACAAGACAGGTGAAGAAGAGAATGTAGGCAGGGTGGAGTGGCTGGAGACTAGTGTCCAGGGTGATTTGAGACAGAAGGATAGACCGATCTCAGACGAGGTTAATGGATGAAGTGAAGGAGGACATGCAGAGGGTTGGTATAACAGAAGAAAATGCTAGGGATAGGGTAAGATTGAGGCAGATGATTCACTCCCTAAAGAGAACAAAAGAAGTTTATTACAACTTCATTTGCTTTTGTCCTTAACCATGTTCCTACCCAGGTAGCATTATTCATAGGAAGAGCCGCTAACATTTACCCTCTCTCCTTCCTTCTTAATCTGGGACGACGCAACAAGATCAGATCCAACTTCCAGCACATGATGATGTTTGCAGGTTAGTGGTGTACGGATAAGGATGTTTATTATGTGCCGTCTTAAGCAAAGCAGAGTGAAATATAACCAACAGAGATGCTTATTATCTCATCTCGTACACAACATTCTCCGTGCTCTGCTTTTTAGGCCTGCGAGGTGCAATGACCTTTGCACTGTCCATCAGGGACACTGCAACATATGCTCGTCAGATGATGTTTTCCACCACTCTGCTCGTGGTCTTCTTCACTGTATGGATTTGTGGGGGTGGTACGACTCAGATGCTGTCCTGCCAGCGCATACGGTATGCCTATCCTTCCTCTGCAAAGTCCAGACTGGATTTGCAGTTAGCATTTGTTTTAACAGTGGGGAAGTTTCACAAATAAGTCTGATGCTTGTCTATAAATATTTTGACTTTATGATGCCTGCGTTTAACTCATCTAGTTATCCTGTCAGGCAAGTATTCGAAAGATTATTGAGCGTCTTGAAGAACGTGCGCTGCTCTGTCTTGTCTGTTTTTAATAAGCAGATTTCCTGCTGGTGAGCTTGTAAAACGGGGGAAACACGCTTCACAGCACCGTTCTGCTCTGACAGCTTACGACTGCAGCTGATTTACACGTGTTTCTTTTTCTTTAACAGTGTGGGAGTGGACTCGGATCAAGATAACTCTGTGAGTGTGGCACTTATAAACGTGTGTTGTAGTTGTGTAATTGGTGGAAAGTAACTGTAAAGGAAACCAAGACACCTAAACAGCGTTGTCTGTCTTTGTCCAGATGAGTGTTGGTGACGGTTCAGAGAGAAGGAGCACCAAACAAGAAAGTGCCTGGCTTTTCAGAATTTGGTACAACTTTGACCACAAGTATCCTTTGCTTAATTAGTGTTATTAATATCAAGAAATAATTATCAAATAAACCATAAATCTAGAGTTTTGAATATGTGATCACTCATTAATGACTTCACTTCAACTTCCCAGCAGCAGAGGGAGCCCCACTTACAGACTTAACTTCACATTAGGTCATCTTTTGGCTCTGTAATATGAAGGTCAGACTGTTCTATGCATTTAAAATAAATTACCTTATGAAATTACTTTAATTTGGAACATTTTCTTCTGAGGACTGGGATTCATTAAGCATTCATCACACCCTGCCAGGAGCTTTCTTTTTGTGTCTAATAGCGGTCTTTTAGTGCTTATTTCACGCTCATTATGTCCTTGACTCGAGCCTCCCTCCAGCTACCTGAAGCCCATCCTGACTCACAGCGGCCCCCCTCTCACAGCCACGCTGCCTCCCTGCTGCGGCCCCCTCGCTCGCTTCCTCACCAGCCCTCAGGCCTTTGAGGTCAGACGCTGGTTTATACAAGAGCTATTTCTGACTGAACTTTTTTAAATCCCATATTACCAGATGGAAAACGGTCATCAATCAACGGTTCAGTTTTCATTTTCAATTTTCATCGTCTAATTGGATGGATAAGGAAACACAAAGCATGGGACAAACTTATAATTGTATTGGTTGAACACAATTTCATTCGATAGCTATGGAGTGCTAAAGTCACATCCTTTTTTCCCCAAATTTGTGTTTCTTTGAACAATTTGTGTTTCTTTGAACAATTTGTGTTTCGTCTTCCTGCAGAATGAATGCCAGCTGAAGGATGACGACTCTGACCTCATCCTGAGAGACGGTGACATCAACCTGACATATGGCGACATCACAGTCAGTACAGACGCCAGTGGCGCCCACACTAGCGGCGGCCCGGCCTTCGCTGGCGCTGCCACCTCGGACGACTTGGACAGAGAGTTAGCATACGGAGATCACGAGCTGGTGATGAGAGGCACGCGCCTGGTGCTGCCCATGGACGACTCGGAGCCGCCCTTCACAGAGCCCCACCACCGCATGCGGATGTGAAAGTAGTCTTTGAATACAGACCCAGACAACCGTCCGACGCACCCCGACCCGAGCCATTGAGCAAAAGACCAGTACCTGAGTCTCCTCCTATCACCTCTCTCTGCTTTTTCCCCCTTTTCTCCAGCACTTTTGTTCCATCCTTCTTGCCACATTTTCAAATCATCGTCTCTACCTCATTGTCTTTCTGCTTATTTCCACACCTTTCTGCCATTACTGTAATATAGTCATATTTATTTGCAGTTTTTTTCTTCATAAATCAGTTTTAAATCATTTCAGCTTAAATTTCTGTGTCACCTTACTGTAGCATTGCACAGAGATCTAGCAGCATGTGTCAGTGTGTAAATGCAACCACTAGCTAACTTGTCGGTGTAAAGTATATCCCAAGAGTACTATAACTTTTATATGCATGCTGAGGATGCTAGTTGTTTTCTTAGTTTGGGAGATTGAGGGCTTTTGTGTTGAATGTTGCTGCCTTCTCTCTGTGGGTCAGAGGCAAGCTGACCCAGTGGACAACGTTACTGTAAATTTGGTTACAATCAAGTGCCTGGGAATTGTAGTTTTTGGCAGCCCAGTACTGGATTAGTTCTGTTAAGCAGAGCTGATTCATTATGGTCAGTCATTCACTTTTCCATTGTTAAAAAAAAAAAGATGATAAAATGCTCAACATAAAACAAAGACCTCTGTCCATAAGGTAGCAATATACTTAGCGCGTGTTTGGGCTGTCAGTCTGTGTGCTATTTGCTTGTAAATAGTGTGTAACAATGTGATGCCAGCGTTGCAGCGTAACCAGGCAGTGAACATGTGGATCTCTCCCAATGACCTTTGACTGTGACATAGAGGGAGACTTTACACCTTATTTTAGAGGCTGCTGTCGTTCACGGCAGGACGAAGGGCTGTTGTTTCGAGATCCAAATGAGACGAGGCGAGAACGCTTAGTGCCATTTCTGTCCTGCATTTTTACATTTGATGAAATCTGAATGCAGATGACCTTAAAGTGTTTTGTATTCTTTTTGCAACAGAGGTTTGTGAGCTGAATCACATTTTTCATATCCATTTTCTAGTCTATATTTTCTCATTCAGTGAACCTGAACGACACATCTAGATGCATGAATCTGAGACTAAATTATCCGCTACAGTGGTATTAAGAGCGTACAACTGATATTGTGCTTCATGAGAACTGTCTATCTGCTTTTGGTAGGGCTGCAAACAGCGATTCATTCATCTGCCAACAGTTGTTTAATAAATTATTTGGTGTAAAAAAAAATGAGAGTAGTGAACAATGCGCATCAGAGTTGCACAGACCTTAAAGAGTGTTTCAGGTAAAAAAAATATGATTTAGGCAAATTTTTAAAAAAATTATTATTTTATCCATGAAGATCAATGTGATGTGAGTTGCCCATTTTTTTGAATAATACGCCGTAAAGATTAAAGATATCTGCCTTCTGTCAAATATAACCAAACACAATTCTAGTCTTGTGGTGTCCAAAACGTCCAGAAACACAGAAATGCTACTTTTGACATCATTACTTGAAATTAAATCTACAAACTTTCTTTGAGCTGTTTAATTTAGGATCTATTTTAATTAAACTACAGAAAGAGACGTGCTGCCGAGTTTTGAGCAGTTTAGTTTCATTATATTAGAGAGAAGGTGCACCTCTCTAAATCTGGGCTACTGACGCCCCAAAAAGTCGAGGTGTCACTACAAGCCAGAAGAAAAACTATAATTATTTGATTTTTTTTGGACAAATTACATCTTTATACTATATACTTTATACTTTCATTGTTTTGTTTTGTTTTTGTCTGATCATCTGATTAAAAATGTAACGCAAGTAGATAGCATTACCTTTGTTCAACAGCATGACTTAGATCATTCATTTGGTATTAAAATGAATGCGGTGCAATTATTTTATTTGCTGGCAGAACAGTTAATCAATCAACCGTTTGCAGCTGTGAATTTATCGATTGTGTTGTACGAAATTATTTTCAAAAGACAAGCCCACAGGATTAATCAGTCCGTCCACGTGTCAGCAGATATTTTCAGTGGTACTGTGGTAGTTTGTTATTATGCAGACTGCCAGAACAGAGCAACAATAGCTGTTTAAATGCTGGATGTTTCTGTCTGCTGTAGAGTTTTTGATGTCTAATGGTCGACCATGAACACAGAGGCACATAAAGAGAAACGGCCGGATGTGTTACATTTGACTTTGTAGCCTTGTGTCAGTGTTCGCTGTTGGGACTATTTCAGTGCGTGGACAAGAAGAACGGAACGTGTCGTCAGCTCCTACAGCAGCTGTTAATGTGAGTTTAACAGGAAGTGTTGATAGCACGTCACCGCGGCAACACTGTGTTGATGCAGACCGAAGCTAGACAACATTTGGTGACTTGAAGCAATCATGGCGGTTTTTCTTTTTCTTTTCTTTTTTTTTCTCAAAGTTGTTGTTTTGGCCTCCTAGTGACCCAAAGAGAAAAAAATACTGTGTGTATGCAAAATGGATGTTTGAGGAAGATGATGTGGTTAAAGAGGGAGAAGAAGGGGGTGACTGGGGGGCTTGTTAGGCTCTTGTTGTTGAGCGTTCATGTGTTGGGATGATACGGAGGTACAAGGAAGAGAAGGCATGCTAGATATCGCTTTTCCTTCCACAGTTATCTTCTGCTGTGCAGGAACTTCTTATTTCTTCTTTTTTTTTATCAGTTATGTCTCTAAACTCCACGTTTTCTAATATATGATTTGTTGATCTCGCTGTTGTGTTTTCTTTTTTATATGTGTAAGTGTGTTTCTGAATATTTTGTTTCTGAAAAAGGGACACAGTGAAGAAAAATGAATGATTTGCACTTATTACAAATGTTGCGCTGTTTTATTCTGGGTTTTTTTTCTACTCTTGTTTTTATCTTAGTTACTTTTATATTACTTACACTGAAAGGTTGTCGGATTTGCAAATCCATGTCAGAGAATTCATCTTAAGTTGTTTTATGCGCTACTTTATGAAGGAATATTCCCACATTGCTCCACCTTATCGCTTCGCCATTCAGGTACTCTGTGTGTAAGTTGCTGCTTGAATGCCGTTGCCATGACTTCTGCACAGGCATGATTCATGTATCCTCTGCTGCGATGGACTCTTTGGCGTAGTGGGAACCAAAAGTGAAAAGTAAAAAGTTATACAAGGAATATTGTGATCCACTATTGTTCTTTGAGACATTAAAAGATGTGAAATCTGCAAAAAGTAAAAGAGGTTTTGGTGTTTTCCTCCTGCTCTGCCAGTACGTGTTCTGTCTCTGCTCTCTGAATGGTGGCCTGTGATATGCTTTGATCATTGGAAATCTTGTCTGAAGTAGCTGACCAAAGAAGCCTGCTGTGCTCCGTGTTCTCAGACAGTCCACTCTATCTTTATACCGCAAACTCTCTGTGTGTGTGTGAATGTGTGTGTGTGTGTGTGTGTGTGTGTGTGTCACTGCCTGCATGTGGATGAGGATTTGAATGTGCACGAGAGAGAGACAGGAGAGAGACATTGTGATCTCTCCTGTCTGTGTTGCAGGTACTGACTGTTTACATCTGTGTAAATATACTCTCACCTGTTCATTTGCGTGCAACGGTCAATAAACAGAAGCCTGTGCTTTTGATTAAAGCCCTCGCTGTAATGGCCTCCTCTTTATTTATTGTGAGTGTCTGGGCTTTAAAAGAATGAAGCCGTGAACTCTTGAGATCATCCCATCCTGAGAAACATGAAATGAGTTTAGTGCCAGAAGTGATTTCATTTGAGCTGAATGAATCGGAGAAGGGATTTTCTTACAGTGTAATAATCGGTTTATAATATTAATGGCGTTAGAAGTCTGACAGGTAGTCTGAGCTGACATCCAATGTGATTTCAGATATTTTAGAGAGGAATAAAATTTGGCTTCAAGCTGACTTAATAATCCACATTTTTTTAAAAAAAATTATGTAGTTTGCATTCCCAACTCTAGAGTCAGGGTTGCAAGATG